ACAAATCAAAGGCAGAACAACAAATACTATCATGAATTTACCATTTCAATTACATATCACTGTGTTTTGCATTACTGTAATATGAATGATATTTGGATGCATCTAATTTCTGCGTTTGGCTGCATGCATCTTAAGGCTCTTCTTGCAGTCAAAGTTGCTCGTGCTGATTTTGGACCAGAATCCAAATCCTGAGCCATGGTATCAGGATCAAAGCGGCCACAAAAACAAAATTACTCACAGCAGAAGTGTGGAAGAAGGAATAAAAATCCACTGTTTCATTTCACTGCTGCTGATTCATTATGATTCAAAATGCTGATAAGAACATCCTCCTTCACTTTCTCTTTCCAAATACACCATATTCCAGATCCGAAGTAGCCTTTCTGTTTAAAACAACATGGACACACGATTATCACAGAATATCACATTCAAGCCGAGAAATGTACAACAATGAATACTAAACTGGCTAAAATCCCAAGTAGTGCACATCATGTTAACTATTTGAGAGACAAACCACTAGAGGGAGCCAAAAAGCCAATCCGCTGTCAACAACACACATCCTCTCCCTGTAATCTGAAAACCTTCATCTCTTTTCTTGCGGTGACAGAAATCAGATTTATAAAATTATGGACTTACAACATGTTCTTGTTGCTGTGCTGTGGCCTGCCAAGTCATGCAAGGTGTATTGGCATCCTTTTCCTCTGTGGTAAGTGCAACTATATGTTTAAATTCTGCCTTCCCTAGTGAATTATAAAGTTTTTAAGTGTTCTCAAATCAGATCAGTTTGAAGGACAACAACTGCTATGATTAAATTCATCCATAAGTGAAGATGAGTTATAAATTGGCCAATTAATGGAAACAAGACAGGACTTATTACTGAATATGAGTGTGTAGTAATATGGTCCACATAAGCACTGCAGAATTTCAGAAATGCACCTGTAAGAAGAGATATGAAGAGACAATCAGCACCAATACACAAGGAAAAGAAAGATTTGCTAAAGATGGTTATAAAACGGATAGTTCCGGTCCTTGATTCTGATTGGTTAAGCCACATTCGAAGCTGTTGTAAATTACACTACAAACATACACCTTTGTTTACTTCTGTGTGCTGCTCGGCAAACACTTTGTTGGAACCCCAACTGTTTCTGAGGAACTACATTGTTTGGTGGAAGAATACTGTTTTTATTTATATTATTACACTTTATTTGCTCTGTTTTATTCTGTGAAACCTTACTACGTATATGGAATAACCGTATTATAAAAGCAATAAGCCCCTTATTTTGTTTCTTCATCGGAACAGATTTGAATAGCATTACATCTCTTGCTCACCAATGGATCCTCTGCAGTGAATGGGTGCCGTCAGAATGAGAGTCCAAACAGCTGATAAAAACATCACAATAATCCACACGACTCCAGTCCATCAATTAACATTTTGTGAAGTGGAAAGCTGCCTGTTTGTAAGAAACAATTTCATCATTAAGAGGTTTTAACTTTAAACCTTCAATTCTGGCCAATAAATGCCAGTCCATAATCCATAATAACGCTTCTTCAGAAAACACTCATTTAGCACATGCTTTTCTCCAAAGTAACCCACAGCACACATCATGGACATATCTAGAGCAACAGGAGGTTAAGTGTCTTTTTTGATTGACTTCGACTTGTTAAACATTCGACTTTTCAATGACTAGCCCAAAACTGCATTACGTTTTTATCTTCTAGACCTCACTTACATAACCAAGAAAAAAAATAAAGAAGTTTGAAATGAAAAGATGCTCACCTAGACCAGCCAGAAAATGCAGTGATACAAGTCATGGCCATCCAAGTCAACTCCATCCAAAGGATGTCATGCAGTTAATTTGAAGCTCCTCATGGACTTACAGACCACATATCTTCTTTCAATGGCCAGTAGCTATAAGCGACCAGTGTTACTTTAATCCTAGGAGAGAATTGGACAAATTCAAGACTTTAACATTATAAATCAACTGAAGACATGGCTTGATAGTCATATGAGATGGTTTTTACCTCTAAAAGGGTTGCAGCAACCAACTCACAAGTGTCACCATAAAACCATCAACGTGCATCACATTTGGTCAAAGGATGAAATGGCTGTTCAAAGCTGAAGTAAAGGTGAAGCCAAAGCAGACCATGATCATCCCTGCAAGTGCCAGATTTACTAAGAAGTGCTTTATACAGCGGTGGTTTTTATACCTCAAGTTAGAGAGATTAATGCATAAGGACAAAATGGGATCAGGATTGATGCATGTAAAGTGACGGACTGAGAGCTTATCTGATGGGGCTTCATTAAAAGGTGCAAAGCATGCCAAACAATTGCTTACCGAGTCCAACAAGAGATCTGCGGGATTATCATGGTGTTTGACACTGACCTCATAAAACTCTGTGGGAATGATTTACTCTTGTCAGTTATGCATAATATGTAGTTAATTTGCATTACTGAGTACTTCAATGTCAATACAGCATTATCATAAGATTGTTTTCAACTCAAAACTTTCTTTTTTGCTAGCAAATAAATCAGATCACTATTTTGAAATGTTCTGGTGAAAAAAAAAAGTATTAAGAAAGAAGGAAGCATTCAAAAAACCCTTGAAATGCTGAATTTATCTTATTCTGTCAAACCCCCAGCACTTACGTGTTCTTCAGCAAGACACTAAATCCTGAGTGACTGACTGACCCTTTCATCATCTGCCTCTGCAAATGTCAAATGTCATTTTCTCCCTTCAGAAACTGACAGTAAGTGGCAAAAATGAAGAGCTCTGACTTGACAAGTATCCACCTTAAATTACAACCGAAATACTTAATTGTTGTTCCAGAATAGCAGTAATCGTGTGATGGACCATTAATGTCAACAAAAGTACCTTTTGAAATGGCTTTTAATGAAAAGTGGGAGGCTTACTGTGTACAAATCTGACACAAATATAAAAAGCATTTATAACATCATCCAAATGTCAAATGAACTGCACTTTTGGGTCAGGTTGTGATGGACAAGAGACATTGTGTCTTATTTTGGGCAGTCTCTTTTTTCCAGTAAAAGCAGATGATACAGAGCTGAAAATGTTTTTACAGACATTTCACTGTCTTTTTGCAGGCAGACTGAAAGGTTGCTAAAATCTGTCTATATATTATGATATATATATTGCAACAGCTATACCCCTACTTAAAGTTTTGCATTCTTAATAATTGCGGAGCCAAAAAACAACATTTGTATCTTAGCAAGCTATCTGACTTAATACTTTTGCTGGTGTAATTTAGGTTGATTCAGTCACATTAAATTATATTTTTGATTTGAATAAAAATTTCATCTAAATGTCAGCACACAAAAGACCTTTTCAAATTACCCGACAGACCATTTTACTCAACTGTGCAGCAATATACCCAAAACACTGTGAGAGCAGTGCATTCATAAGTGTTTCTCTATTTTTATACTATAAACATCCAAATATCTTGTTATTCATTACGGATGTTGTTTTTTGGTATTGTTTTCGATCCATATGAAGCATCTAAGAGTTCCCAATCAGCTGTTGTATAAAATGAGCTACATCATCACAGATATATTTAGTGATTTAAATTAATGGTGTCAGTTTTGCTGACTTAGCTGATGCACATGCTTTGTCATTATGGCAAAATAATAGCACTTATTGCAGCTACAATGAAGGCTCTGTCCGAGCACAACCATTACAATAATTTGTTTCCTCAACACAGTTAACGGCACAAACAGACAGTATATTCATTCATTATGGCATAACAACTATTACTTGTGGATGTAGATGCATTTCATTAACTTCAGCACATATCTCATCACAATAGCACCGCTCCTAAGCATAGTTGAGTAGACCTCAGAAAGCTGAATAGATGGCTTGAATTAATTTATACAAATTATCCAGGGCTGAAAGTGACAAATTCACCGTAGTAGACTCTCTAACACACAACTTTTGTAGCCAAATCTGACTGTTTTCTGGATTTTGCACTTGTTAGATTGGTTAAATTCACACCTCTCAAGTCTGTTGTAGCATTAAGTGTCACTAATCTTACAGTGGTGTTACTGTTAAATAAAACAAAAATTGAAAATTGTCGTAATTGAAAACAAATATTGCATGAAAAACGTAACTGAAAAAAAAAACCTAATCGAAAATTACTGTATAAATATATTTTAGTTGAAGTAGTAAAATTGCTAAAACTGTAATTGAAATAAAAATAAAGCTATATAAAAAAAATACATCTACATTAAAATTAAAACTAAATATAGATTAAATACAAAAGAAGTCAAAACATGAATAAATACTATAATAGTATATATAAAATAATCTAGCAAGTAACTATCCCTAACTTTTTTTTACCTTTGACAAGCCTGGTCTAATTCACTCTACTGAGTGCTTTTGATTCTGCAATAAATTATGTGGATGTTATTTAAGGTCTTTGTGGTGGGCGTTCTCTATCTGCTCGGTTTCCCACACAGAAGGTAATCCTACCAGAGCAGATCTTTTTTGGTTCTCTTGCGACAGATGGCTCGAGAACTTAATTGATTTGATAAACTCTGAGCAAGTTGTTGTTTCTTTCTAATGCGGTGACAACTGATTACTTGAGGAAACTCATTAACAGTCCTCTGAAATCAAGTCAGCCCCCTAGAGAGTTAATAATTAGTGTTTTCTGCACCACCATTCTGTGGCAGTGCTCCTGTGAATAGGTGATGAAATAAAATTTAAAAAGCCTGTTTACAACAAAGTAATGCTAAACGCTGCAAAAACAAACATATAGCATGACTAATATGTTCAAATCATGAGCAAATTTATATTACGAACTGATTCTTTTATTGAATCACACAACAACAATTCAATTTCCCTTTCGGAACGCAAGCAAGCATAATATAATTCAAAACATCAGGTTTAAATGTTTGCGTTTGTGAACGTTGAAACCTTGAAATTAAAATGTATTTCTCCTAAATTCCCACAAAATGAACCCACAGTACAGTTTCGATGTTATCACAGCACCTCTTCAAGTGTTGGGAGCACCTCATCTTTCAAGTAAGAATCGGGATCCAGCTCAGGGTCATCCAGATCAATACTGAGGAATTTCTCCACCACCTCAACACACCTGAATCAGGAAATGTATTTTAAGTAGAAGGAGGAGAGAATTTAAGAATAATAGTTTCGCTGTTCAGACCATCCCATACCTGCTGTACTGTTCATCTGAAGATGGGCTGTTCATCTTTCTGATGGTTCTTCCTGTTCTGTATAACTCTGACACCTGCATAGATGATATTTAGGAGATTAAATCCTATAATGTCAAAAATGGACTAAACAGCACGCACACATTTAACGCTGATAAATAACGGTGATAGATCGCTATTCAAAGTTAGACTTTGAACTTGAAAACTCTGTGCTGCCTTGAATTTTTTTTTTAAAAGTACTACCATACTCACCATGAAATTAAGACCCTCAATCTCAAAGCTCTGTTTATCCAGCATGGTGGGTAATCTTGGCACCGACAATAAAAATCCAATCTGTCATCCAAAACAGAATGAAATACAAGGATGTCATCATGTACATCAGTTAAATAAATGTAAGCACTAGCTATTAAAATTTATACAGGCATCTGAATTTATGTTTTACAACAATTTTTGCCTTGAAATGCAAAATACCTTATGCTGCTCGTTATCAATTAGCAACTCTAAAACCTATTCATTTTGATATTTCAAATAGATCTTTTAAGGTGAAAACCTTTAATAGGCTGATTCTCCTCTTTCAACATTGCAATGTGTTTGAGTGGCTCAAAATGTCTACAGATGGCTCAACCGATGTTATGAATTTAGTGAAGGGCTTCCTGTTTGCATAATCAATGGAGCAAGAGGATTTTAGAAGTGTTTAGGAAATCTATTTGGAAAAACAATCAGTATTTTTGGAATTCTGTTTGGTGGCACAGAAATGTCACAATAAATTGAAATCCTGTGAATAATTGCAAGCTATTTCACTATTAAATAAAACAGCACTGCTTGCTGCTTTTGTTAACCCATATGCCACAGTCGTTACAGCTGCTTGTCATTTAGCCACACTGCAGTGCACTAATTACAGAAACAGTCATCCGCGAGCGAGCTGGGGTCAAGTGGCCTGCTCAGGGGCACAATGGCCACCTCACTGACTCTTCATTTATTGGGTCGCTCCAACAAGGAATTAAACCCACAACCTTTATGTTAACAGCTCTGTGTCAACAATGAGGTTACACATCACACTTTAATGAATGGAGAGCAGCATTAATCCCGTCCTGACCAGAGGGATGTAGATGATGCTGCAGGTGGAGAAGCGAGGGTCCAGTTTTTCCAGCTCAGCACGAGCCACATCTGTCAGGAAATCTGGGAGACCCATCATCCTTCTTTTCTCTGTAAAGAAGAGAATAAACCAAAAATGTATATAATAAAAATGAAGAGCCAACAAACTTCTAGCTATCCACCTATTTTTAATGTAAGAGTGGGTGGGCAATTTCAATATGCGGGATTTCTTTTCAAATTATTCTCTTTGTTTTCATGATATTATTATAGCAATCATGAACGCACTGATTTGAAGCACAAATAGCTTTTACCATTTACTGCACTTTATTATTCTTCTAGTTATTTACCTATAGTGGCAATATTAATCTGAAGTCTTGTACATTTACAGAAAATAACTTAATTTCAAGTTGAAAAATAAGGTGGATAAATAAACAATAGTTTCATTTTCCTAGTTATCTGCGAATAATGTATCAGCCACCGATATATTGTGGACTTTTAAACTTTTATTTCACAGAGATGCAGGACATTACATAAACATGGTGACATGTTCAGGAAGGGTACACAGTTAACGATAAACGTTCATTTAAAAAGCAAAAAATATATATATCAGTGAGTCAAATTTCACAATATTCCTGGGGGAACAATCAGAGGATGTTTGCATAAACAAGAAAAAACATTATAAAAACATTGGAAGAAAAAACTGGACATGTTCCCAGGGAACAATTTCTAGGACATCTGCATAACAAAGTAAAAAAAAAATGTTTAAAGTTCATAGACGATAGGAACAAACCAAATATATAAAAACCTTCAAAATATACTGTAGATAGGAATACAAGTTTGGTTTATGTAAATGCTACTGAAGTGAAAATTTCTGGCTCAGCGCATGAAAAACACATTTTGAGGAAACAGCCTTTGAAGATATGTATTTTAAATGAAATCTACAGATGCAAATAAATAAAGTGCAATAAAATAAACAAGTTTCTTGTTAGATTGAAATATGCAAAATATGAAAAGCCAAATATCTCAAAATTTACCAGTGCATGAAAAAACTATGTTTTTGCCTGTTTCTTGCCCTAAAATTTAAACAAATAAAACCAAGAAAAAGCATTTAAAAAAAAATTTATGTTTTCGGAAAGGGAATGTTAAGATAAATTTTCTTATAAAAGATAACATCTGTATCATACCTCCACTCCTCTCTTGACCAGGTCATCGGGAATGCCGGCCAGAGTGGCGATATTAGCCGCACAACTCGACTGGCAGATGCCGTTTTTCACTTGGTACAAAAACACCAGCTCTTCTCCCTCTATTGCTGTCTCTAGAGTCTGCAAACGAAAACCAAAAATGCACAAGTTGTTTTTTTATTCTTGAAATCACAGTGAAGGTAATGGTCTATGAAAAATGTCTTTTCTGGTCATAGCGTGTTTCTGTGGCACCAGTAAATCCAGCAGTGGAGAATCAGAGATCAAGCCCAGCTGTATGAGGCTGTGGAAGCATGTCGACATAAGTAAGTGAGGACACTGTGGCCCACGACGCATCCAGTTATTGAGACTTGCAGTCAGGAGAGCCAATCCATCCACCTGCATCATAAACACACACGCAATATTAGTTGAAATGCTTTTCAATTCTTGCTTTTCTATCAAGTCCTGTTTGCTCCTCCTGGTTCTTTACACTTACAGTGTTGGTTCCTTTACCAAACTCATCCACTAGAACAAGAGAATCCCCAGTGCTGTGGTTCAAGGAACTTGTTATCTAGACAGGAATCGTAATTATTAGAAACCAGCTGAAGGATGATATTGCAATTCGCTATGTAAATATTTCAATGACTCATCAGTATATTAATCTGAAGTCTTGTACATTTACAGAAAATAACTTAATTTCAAGTTGAAAAATAAGGTGGATAAATAAACAATAGTTTCATTTTCCTAGTTATCTGCGAATAATGTATCAGCCACCGATATATTGTGGACTTTTAGTTACTGTTGCATCAGAACTGAAGAAATCAATGGAAAACCACTCACTCTCGTCAATAACAGGATCGACATTTGGCCTGACAGTGAATCGGTTCTCAGCTACACTTCCTTCAAAGTCCACCTGCAATGGAGAATGACAACCCCAAAGCAATTACATTAATTCAGCAATAATTTAACAACAGAAAATAAAATAGTATTCAGACTCACCACTTTACTGATGTATGTAGCGATGTAGAAAAGATCATCAGTGAAGTTTTGACTGATTTCACTGAAGAGTTGGATGGACTGGGGCATGGAGCGAATGGTGTCCCTAATGCACAATGCATTATACACCGTCTGATAAAAGAGAAACATGAATGAACAAAAAAAACAAGCCAGGATAGGCAATAATAAATTAACTGAGTGCTGTACCTTATACAGACTTTGCCAGACGACAACCTTCGGGTTAGCGAGAGACATTTTATGCAGCAGCGTCTGTATGAAAGACAAGCTAAGTGTCACTTTATTTGTGTGGCTTTTGTCGTTTTGTAATTTGGCTCTGATTAAATAATGTTAAGCTTTAGACAAAATGCTGAAAACTGTACCAAGATGTTCTTGATATTCCGCAGGGAACTCTGCAAAGTGTTAAGATCAGCAAAGTTACGAGGGGATGTGAAGAAACGGATCACTTCCTGACGCTTCTTCAGAATGTTCAGATCTCGAGTAGGTCTGTGGAACCACTGCCTAAAACAAACGAGAAAAAGGAAGTCTATGTTAGGGCTTAAACACCTTTTAAATGTGCTAAATTATCTGTTATAAAACCAGGATTTTACCGTAAAAGCAGAGAGCCAAACTTGCTCCGACAGCAATTCAGAACACCTGCAAAAATCACAATGCGGGTATTTACTCCATTCACTTTTACTGCATAAAAAAATCAGCATAAGCATTATTCAGGATTTCTTCTCATTTTGAATAGAGGGTTTGGAAATTACATGAGTAAATGATGGCAGAATTTTCATTTTTGGTTGAGCTATTCCTTTAAATAATATATTATTCCTTTTTTATATATTATAACTTTCCATAAAACAATGACCATTCTCAACTTTTCTGACTACCCACTAAAACAGGGGATTTCAGTGTTTTAGAGGCCAGAAGAAAATATGTATAATTTAGCACATTTTGAACATATATTTACTGATTTCAACTTTGAAAACTATTATAAAAATGTGCAAAATATTATTTAGAAAATATAAAATTTCTATTATTGCATTTCTTCTATTCACTATAGAACTGTTCTTTTGGATTTTACATTTTTTATTTATATTTTTTTCTTTAAATATATTTTATTGTGATACAATTTTATTATTCATTTATTGATTTTAAACTTATTTTTTATTATTTATTTGTTTTTACACCATTTTTATCTAAACTTTTTCATGGATCCCCTAGCTTTCCATGTTTTTTGTTGTGGACAACAGTTTCAAAACCCTTACACAAAAAATTCAAATTTGATTAACTTTAAATGGTGCACAGAATAATACATTTTACCATAAAGACTCAATCCTTCTTTCTCTCCTAACTGGAGCTTAAAGACGGAAGGATGCAGCTCAGATTTAAAGATCTGGAGGGCACTGAGGAAAGAGTGCAAACAAGTTTTAACAGCTCCAAATAGATGAATTTATAGAAAAAGGAACAAAGGATGGGACCGATTCATATGACCAACCTATATGTGTCTTTGTCGATGTACACAACATCTTTCCTACAAAATAATGAACAAATAAACCAGAGTTTTATTCTCACAAAAATAAAAATAAAAAAAGTGATTGATACACAAATGTCTTACAGTGTGTAAGCCAAAAACTGCAATATGGGGACGCCCATACTGCTGTCTTCCATGTCTAAGCCAACTCTCCTCCTCTCCAGACACTTCAACAGCCCTCCTATTGACCTCATCTACGGCAGAGAAGATCGTCATGATATGCCCATTTATTCATCTAGCATAAACCATCTGATGTCTCACCATCAGCACTGAGTCTAATGGGATACAGGAGGAGAGATACGGGATTTTCTCGCTCTCTGTGATGGTGGGAGAGAGAGATGGGATGTGTGCTGAGAGGAGTCGCTGTCTGCTGATCTCCAGACCTGCAAAAGATGGTACAGGATCAATTACCGTGACTGTTTTTCACTAAGCTGGTAAAACGCTGCAAAATGTAATGCACACATATGCAGTATTCGATAATACCTCTACTTCTTATGATTTCTTTTAATAAGTATAAACGTTACACAGATCAAAGCTTTTTTCGCCATTTTTGGCATCCCCATCCACTTTCAACGTAAGGAAAAGTGCAGTATGAACCTCCTACGAAAGTTCTCTTTTTGTGTTTCACAAAACAGCATTTCCTCTGAATTGCGATACAGAATAAAATAAAGCGATGTGTAAATACTTACCAAAGTTTGCATTTGGAAACATGACTATTTCAGGCTTATACTCAGGATTTAATTCTGAAATTGAAGCAAAGCTAGACATTGGTTTGATATAAACTCGAAAATAACAATTGAGCAAGAGTCGGAGAGTTTAAAACTGGAGAGTTTACCAAGCTTTTCGATAAACTCGAGCAAGCTCTGCTCTTGTTTTGCACTTGTTATTAAGACGTTTGGACTCAGCTCCTGTATGACTGAAACAGAAAATTCATGATGGGGTAAACAAACTAACATAATGGCCATCAAAGCATCTCCAATCAATGTTTCCTTCATCTTGGCTTGACATGCAAGTCAAATATTCTGGCAGAGACACTGTGCAAGCAAAAGATATATGAACAAACAAGCAGTGGAAGAGACACGGCTCAATGGAAATGCTCCAATATATACAGTATATACAAAAAAGACCAACAGAAAGAGAGAAATAAAGTACCTCTATCCAGCAGGTGGAGGTCGCTGTTGTCCATGGTGTCCGGCATAAAATGCAGCGTATAATCGCAACTGTCATAATAACTTAGTCCAATTTGTCCTTGTTGAACAAATACACTCAGAAAAATCTAAAATTAAAAAAAAAAAAATTGGCACACCACTGTGTTATTAACGCAATAAGTAACTTACTTTATAACTGAGATATTATTAAACAATAATTTACCTCACGGTTTCCCTCATCCTCTTCAACTTCATTTATACTCAAAGCTCAAATATATGAACAGAAGAATAGAGAAATCAGAAAATTCATCTCATTAGAAGAGATGATTTGTACCGTGACTCAATCAGGGCCAGCCTGTGGTTTGATGTCAGGGTTGGACAGCAGTAGCCGTGATCCAGAGAAGCCTGAGCCAAAGCAATGAGACAGTCCAGCTCTGCGCACAGAGACATGACCTTATACAAAGAGTCGCTCCGCTGAAGCACTGAGGCCTGAAGCTTCCTCATTACCACCATCTCCAGATCTGGGGAAAAAAAGTTACATGATTACATACAGTATTATGTATGTAATCAAGACATTGTATACATACTAAGACATTGTAAAGGTTTAGTGCAATTAATTTATTAATCAACTGAAGAAAGAATAAAAAAGACCCAAGGTGTCACAATGTAGGTCTCCCAGCATGCTGTCCAGCTCTTTGGTTCGAGCGCTGCGGTAATGCAGTTGATCCTTTGACAGGAACTGAAATAATCCACAAATTAAATGCAAAAACCAGCTCTTATCAACCCCTCAAACATAACTTACTTTATAACTGAGATATTATTAAACAATAATTTACCTCACGGTTTCCCTCATCCTCTTCAACTTCATTTATACTCAAAGCTCTAGCGTTACTTTCTGGTTCTTGTACATGACTGGCTTCAGACATATTTCACTGTGCAAGAACATTGTACAAGCAATTCATGATAGTCGAGGAAAGCGTCTTTTTTTCTTTTTGCCTAAATGTACTCATTAAGCCAGAGGAAAACGCGAGGTGAATAAACAGGTTACGCGTGAGTTAAGTTACCTGAGGCCAGTTTCTGAAGTTGACGTCGAGTAACGTTAACTAACAAACGCAAAGAAAGGCGCAACGAGAAAAATCAGACATATGATTAATCGTATGAATTCGAAAAGAATGATATTACCTGTGCTGAACACCTAGGATAGGATATGTTGGTGCTGTTTGTTTAGTGCCTCCTCGAGCCAACAGCGCGCGAATAATAAGCTGCGACAAGCACTGTTGCCAACTCTCGCAAGACAAATAAGCAACCGCTGCTTCAAAAACGAGTCAAACATTTTTTTTGATGATTTATTATCATCAATAATATTTATTATCAATGATTTATTACCAATAAATGAGCCTGCAACAACCACTCTTTTATCTGAAAAGCAAAAACAGAAGCTATTTTACAAAAATCAACAAACTGCAACAAAAATGGGAACAAAACTCATCTCCAATCATCTGTGTGCAGAATAGGATTGGAGAGATGGAAAAAAAGAAAAACACAAGAGCTTCAAAGGGGAGCTGTAACATAGCCACATATTTATAGCCTAATAAATATTGGCCATTCGAACCATATTTACTCTTAGTATTAGTATAGGCCTACTTGTTTTTTATTACAGCCCGTGATAATTAATACATTACAAAAACATTGTAAAAAAAAAATAGGCTAAAAGAAAGTCATCCCACTCCTCCATGTGTAGGGATGGGCGTATCGATCCGAAGTATCGATACTCAAACAAAAATATCGATACTAAGGTGCGTTTTATTTACCAGTGGTTTTGCTTATTTAACAAAAATAATAATGTGTACAATATGCATTGAATTGGACGAATAACCTTTGTTAGCGAGTAATTGTGTAGGATAGAACTATTTTCCTGCTCATCTGGACACGCAAATGTTGCAAGACAGAACCAATCAATCACAGAGAGCATTCACTCACTGCTGAGAGTGCATTCAAACAGGGCTGCAAGTATCATGAGAAAGCATTAAAGCAGCCCTGAACAATGCTTATCAGAGGACAGAAAAAAAACATAAATGTTTGAGTTATTTCACAATAAACAAATTGAAATTGTAGCCTACATAGTTGGTGCAATTAATTATTTAAATTGAACGTTGAAAGATAATATTGATCATGTTCTATTCTGTAATGTTAATAGAAATCATACACCGTCAGAATAAAAAAAGTCGCATTTTATGCATGCAACAGCCATTCACTGGCAGTCCCTAATAGCAGTACAAAATATTGCACTAAATCAAGTTCAAATGTTACAAATAAGTTAGAATATTAATGTTGTAATACTGGTAGCACTAATATGAAAATGTGATGATATGTGTTACAAAAAAGTAACAATTTTGAAATATGTTGATCGTTGATTTTTTTGTATTTGATCTCAGTATTCCTATCAGTGTTGTATAAGGGTTTTTTTATGCATAATAGTAACCCTAGAATGTGATCAAAGTTTAAAATAGCTGGGCTAAAATATTTAACAATTTTTATGACTGCAGAAATATGTTAATTCAGTATACACATTATCCCACCGGCTACAGTTGTGACTGACCATAAAATACAATTTTTCACACACTTTTCCCAAAAAAAAAAAATTATTTCAAAAAGTGTTACTAATGACACATCATTTGGATATTTTCATGTCTGGGAAAAATGTGGGATTAAATGGGTTCAAATGAGTTTTAAAACAAGTTAAATGGTTTTCATTACCCATTTTACTCTTAGTAATTTAATAATGATTTTTTTGTTTGTTTATAATATTACCCAAAAAAATTTTTTTTAATTAAATAAATTCCACTATATAAAAGAAACAGGTCTGTAGACACAAAACGTTACTTTTTTATTTTAATATAAACGTATCCATGTGTGACATTTCTATGCATGAAGAAATGCTGATAAAAACATTAAAATCTTAGAACTGTTATAAAGACAAAGAAAAAATAAGAAAACATTCATTTACACAGAAATTATTATAATTATGCAAGAGAAAGATGTGTGTGTGTTTTTGTGACATATGAGGACACAAATTTGTATGACATGGGTATGACAGGTATTACAAGGAGAAGGTGACTTATGAGGACAGTACCCCATGTCCCCATTTTTCAAAACGCTTATGAATCATACAGTTTTTTTGAGAAAGTAAAAATGCAAGGTTTCCTGTAAGGGGTAGGTTTAGGGGTAGGGTTAGGTGTAGGGCAATAGCACATAGAGTTTGCACAGTATAAAAACCATTACGCCTATGGAATGTCCCCACAATTCAAAAGAGTTACATTTTGACTGCTCTCTTGATATAGTTAATTAAGCTTACTGTAAATAAAACAGTGTCAGAAAAAGTGAGAGCAGGGTGCTGGACAAGATGAAAGCAGACCTGCTTGAGACGCCATTGCAGAGTAGAGTATCACAGCAGTCATTGGTGAAAGTGAAGTTTAAACCCATGGCAAACTTCTCTCCTGTTAGTCCACACAGGACAGGAAGAACGCAGCTCTTTTCATACAAGACGACCTCAAAGTCCCCTGTTCAAAGAAAATCACACACAATGACATGCATAGACACGCACATTTGTCTCCTGTATTCTCCGTAATAATCACTTGTATAATCAGTTCTTGCAATACAATATTTTCACACAAGGCTTTCATGCAGATGTGCTTAATTTAGTAATGCACAAAGGTTTGAATAAATGTTTATAAAAATATGCTCTTCAAAGTATGATCACTAAAATGTGAAGTTCTCACAGCTTGAAATTAAATCAAGCACAGGAAAATGTACACTCATCTATCACGGACTGAAAGACAAGTTTACATGTACATACCCCGCTGTCCTACAGCTTTGCTAGAAAGACAGAGCTGACCCGGTGGACACCTGGTTGGGAACTTGAGACAGTCCAGTGGTGAGACAGAAGGAAATACACATGTATAACAGAACAGAGGAACTACAAGAGAACAAATAAAGAGAATTAAATATATTAGCACATTCATAGTAGATGATACACAATACAAACATAATATCCAGTTCAGTTAGGTGGAACACATTTAGGTTACTTGACATTTCATATGAACTGAACTTCACATTTAATTTACTGTTAAACTGATACAATAAAACAAATGTGGAAAAAAAAGAAAAAAAAAGTGACAGCAATGGCTTATTTTTCACTTACCCACAGATGGGAGAAGACAAAGGAAGAGAATGCATCTAAAAAATTGAGACATGTTTCTTGGCCTCCAGTTATTAATCAGCACAATTCCTTTACAATTCAGAAGGGTCCAGTTTGTACATTATCTGACCCTTAAATCAGATGGAAGCAGTAGATGATCATCTTTCCTCTAACCCTCCCCTTTAAACATTAAAAATGTGTCTCCACCTTGAAACATAATTGAATTCAGGCTTAAGCGGAGTTTGTTGATGCAGCTCCGAGGTCAAACTTTGGCATAGGTCTCAATGCCCTATTACTCCCCATTTGATATAATCATGCAGGCAGAAACGAGTTTCAATCTCATAGTGATCTAAAAAAAGGCTGTATTACCTTTAAGTACGTGACAAGTATTTTATAATCCTAAGGTTACAATCGGAGGCCTTTGCTGGCAAGAATAGAGCAGCAGCATGGATCTGATTAGAGAATATATGTTAATGAAAGACACGCAAGGGAAAAGATGGAAAGTCAAATGACTGAGGGTCTTGTGACTGTAGATGTCCAAAAATCATGATTTAACTAAACTGTGACTCCTCAAGGCAGCTTAGATCAAAAACAAAGCAGAAAATATTCTACGAACATTATACAGAAACCGACTTAAAAGAAGAAATATTTTACAGCCACACAATTGTCATTTTTGACCACGCAACTGCTAAAATACTCTGCATAAATTGAGCATTGAATACATTCAGACATTACTTTGGGACACATTAAAAACGGACTTTTTTTCTGTCAGTAGAGGTAGATCAGCCCAAAAAACATGTGTAGGAACACCAAATTCACCCTTATGTTCATTTTATACTACTTAACTCTAAAAACAGCAATTATATCAGCACCGAATCATTTCAGAAAACAAAACTGGACAAGAATAGGTTTCATTCTTCCTTTATTGTGATCCAAATTTGTACAAAATGGAGATTAGCGGTTAGACTTGGCCACTCTCTCCAGCTCATCTTTCTTCTTGATGGCATAAGAGTTGGAGGAACCCTGCAATAGACCAAAAAAAAAAAAACTTTAATAGTAATCAAATAAAAAGATTCATAAAAGACAAATTACCTTAAGGTACTGTAGAAGCCCTGAAGGTGTTGATAACATAGTAAAAGTAAAATGCTCTAATCAGATTGTTTATCTCACCTTGGCGGCGTTAATGAGCTCATCAGCAAGACACTCTGCAATAGTCTTGATGTTCCTGAATGCAGCTTCTCTTGCACCAGTGCAAAGCAACCAGATGGCCTAAAATCATAACGCAAAATAAGTGACCACTTTCACATAAGACAATATCTCCACCTGCCATTTCTGTGCTCTGTATTTTCTATGAAAGGCCACCCAAGTACGACAGAGTGTCTTGGGATACTAAAAGTATGCTAACTTATATCAAGTCCCTTAGAAGTCAACATGTATTTTCTTAATGCCATGTTCCTGGTCCCACTGTGAACATTTCATTGGTATTATTTACTCAGAAAAATAAAAGGTTAGCCAATAGACAAGTAACTATTTAGGCAATACGGACCTGGTTGACCCTGCGCAGAGGTGACACATCAACAGCCTGTCTCCTCACGGTTCCAGCACGTCCGATACGAGTGGAGTCCTCACGAGGACCACTGTTGATGATGGCGTTCACCAGGATCTGCAGAGGATTCTAGAAAGGAAATAAAAATGGTCTACTATATAGAAAGTCCCAACATCTTAGAA